ACGGCAGTTAGGGGACTGGAAGTGATGAAATGTGACCTATGTGAACTCTCTCTGAAGAGAGGGTGGAGGACGCAGTTCAGAGAGGAAAGCATGAATGCTTCGAGTGTGTGTGGCTGTCTGAGAAAGGCACAAGACAGAGGAGGAATGGGGAAAGTTACAGAAAGTCTTTTCTCCTGGCAAAGGAAAGATTGTTTTCAGCAACTGTAGCTTCTAGAAACAGAAGTGTGAGCAGGATTGTGAAGGTTTCTGTGGCAGATGAGGGCCAGGGTCAGATGAGGGCTCTAAGCACCCCTGGGGGATTCAACTGAGCCCCCCAGCAGTGCAGCAGAGGGGCAGGGAGGCAGCGCAGAAGTGGCGATGGGGTTGGGGGGGAACAGTCCTTTCAAACTCTGCAGCTCTCTTTTTCCCTCTGTGCACCGTATGGGGGTTCTGCATCTGATTTCAGATGATTGGGGAACCCACTCGCCTAGAAGATCTCTAAGGTTCTTTTCTTAGGGTCTGCGATTCTGAAGAGCTCACTTTAAGTCTGAAATTTCTTTTGTATCCTCCCACAGATAAGATTAGATCTTGATCCACTTATAATATTCTCTCTTTAAATCAATTTTCTATCCTTAATGGTCTCCCGGATTTTTTTCTCTGAGCAGCATTGGGTATGAAACTTTAGTCTTCTTGAAAGTCTAAGTTAATTATAGCCACTGGGTTTCCCTTTGTCCTTGGCTGAGTGACCCTTTCCAAGTCATGAACCTCTTTGAGCCTCAAGTTCCCTCTCCCCTCCCCTCCCCTCCCTTCCCCTCCTCCTCTTCTTGAGACTGAGTCTCACTCTGTTGCCCGGGCTGGAGTGCAGTGTTGTGATATCGGCTTACTGCAACCTCCGCCTCCCAGGCTCAAGCAATTCTCGTGCCTCAGTCTCCTGAGTAGCTGGGATTGCAGGCGTGAGCCACCGTGCTCAGCTAATGTTTGTGTTTTTAGTAGAGATAGGATTTCTCCATGTTGGTCAGGCTGGTCTCAAACTCCTGACCTCAGGTGATCTGCCCACCTCAGTCTCCCAAAATGTTGGGATTACGGGCTGAGCCACTGCGCCCAGCTGAGCCTCAATTTCTTCATCTGTAAAATGAGGATTACAATGTCTCAGAGAGTTGTATTAGACTGACGGGAGATTTTGGATGTGAAAGTGCTTCTCAAAGCACAACATGCTGCCCTCATTGCATTTGGATAGAGATGCGTGCTGCCGCTGTAGCTCTACTGACTCCGACTGTCTGGATAGGTTCCCCCGGCAGCCCGGAAGGACTCTCTTCTCTGGGGACTGGAGATGTGATTGTGGGTGATATCAGGGTGGAGATGGGATGAAGGTGAGGTGGTGGACCTCGGCTCTGTTGTTGCCCTCTTCTTGTGGACATCAGTGGGTGAGTGAGTGTCGGCCTCTGCCTGGGATGTGGGAAAGCATTTTCACCTGCTCCGCTTCCATCTACAGGAGTGCACAGAATTGAAGGTCTAGATTTTGCATATTCTCTGAATCTTCCATGGTATCTTGTGAGTACCTAGCACATAGTAAATGCTTAGGGAACATGTGCTGAATGAATGAATGAATGAGTGAATGCATACATACAGATTTAGGGGAAAAAACTGAGACGGCTTATTGTTTGGCTCAATCGCACCAGCAGGCGAAGCCCAGCCAGACTGATGTGCAGGATATTTTGTGACAGGAAGCATCACAGCCGCCCCTGGACAGGTGCCCACCCCTGGACAGGTGCCCACCCCTGGACAGGTGCCCACTCCTGGACAGGTGCCCACTCCTGGACAGGGGCCATCGTGTCTCTCACCCTCTTCCTCAAGCGTTCCTTTCATCTGCTACCCTTCGAGAGTTTCTGGTTGCATGTGGATTACACGAGGAAGCTGGAGGGTGCTCTGGGAGCCATGGGCAGGGGAGGACTGCTGGGATTTTTGGTCTTGTTTACCTATTTCTCTGCTGCCTACGTGCTGGTTAGTCAGAGCAGCAAGCTGGGAGGTGGAGTTAGACATGTCTCAGAGGGATTGACACAATGGCTCTGCCGCACTCTTCCCCTTCCCTATCAGCAGGGTTTCCAGGCAGGCTCAGACCTGTGCCTCCCTCATGCCCAGCCCCCTCTGGGATAAAAACACTTCAGTAACCCCTCAGATAGAATCTGGCATGTTTTTCAACTGGACTTGGGGTGAATCTGGTTTTCAGTGTCAGATAAATCAGAAATTGGCTATAGGGGATTCTGTCTTTGATCATTTATCTGTCATCCATCAATTCACTCATTCATTCATTCATGTTTACTAAGTGCCTACTTCTTGCCATGGATGGCATTCCCTGGGCTAGGTTTGCAGCTAAAAATAGCAAAGACACAGACCCTGTCCTCAAGAAGCTCCCATTCTGGTGACAGGCAACAGGTTTATAAAAAAAATGTGGCTGATGAATGCACTTTAGGTTTAGAGGAGTTCACTGTCTTGGGGAATCCTTGCTTGGGAACTTGAAGCGTTTTATTGAGGCTGATGTTTTCACCTGAGCAGGGAGGAAGTCTGAGGGCAGAAGAGGCACCTGGGAAGGCTGAAGCCATGGAGATTCTCAGGCCTGAGAGCGTTTGTTTACTGCTGTCCTGGGACGGTTCTGGGGCTTTGGGAAGCTTGTTGGCAGTTCCTGAGCCCTGTGTTTGGTCTGTTTTCCTCATCTCTCCCCTTACCCACTACCCCCGCTGAGCTGGTCTCTCCATTTCTTACATTCAGCTCCTCACATGTCTTGGGCTTTGGTGTGGGTCTGTGCTAGGGAGTGGCTGCTGGGTTCTCAGCCACACTAAGGGAGGACTGAGAGAGGGGGAGAGGGACCTGGGGACATGCAGGAGCCCTGATATTTAACCCTCCTCTAGGTCAGCACCCAGGCACAGACCTTCACCCCCAAGGTCGGGAGGGAAGCACCCTGCGAGATGGACAGGGCCTGGGGATGCAGCTTCCACCTCGGTGGGGATGGTGGGAGTACGGGGCTGCTGTGGGGACGGAAGGAGGCAGAGAAGTGAAGAGAAGGGAAAGCTGAGCCTGGCCATGGTGGCTGCCATCTTCCCCTCAGGGCTGGGAGCTATGGCTGTCCTGGCCTGATGATGAGGAAATGACAGAGTTGTTAAGCACAGGCGGAACGGCTAGCTCCGGGGCTAGGAGCTTCCTTGACCGCACCCTGGAGACTGGGTATGCTGCTGCCTTGCGTGTGGGGCCCCAGGCCTGACCTGACCCCTGCACCGCTGTGCCCACCTGCCCTCCCCCACTCCTCCAGCAATACCTAGCTCCTGCCCTGGTGGCAAAGGGTCCGTGCTGGGTGTGCTACCCAGCTGTCATTTCCTGGCATGGATTCCTCTGCAGTCCTAAGTCCTTACATTTGTACAGAGCTTCATGGTTTCCAGAACCTATTCACACGTATTAGCCATGTAATCTCTCTGCTAGCCCGGTGCGTGTCCGTGGGGGTGCTGTGGGTCATATGGGTTCCGTGGACAGGCGATAAGGTAAGTCTCAGGAAGATGAATGCCTCAGGACAGCACAGCTAATCAGGGACCCGGCCTCAGCCTTCTGATTCTACAGTTAGTGACCTGTCCTAGAACTGATTTCCTTCTCTGTTGCTCCCCCAAGAGCCACCCCAGGTCTCCTCAGTGCTACCCAGAAGCAGCTCACAGCTAGGGAGGCTTCACAGCTGCTCTCCTGGCCGGGGAGCCCCCGGGGATGCAGCATCTCTGCACACAGGCCAAGCTTTGGGGCGCTTCCTTGTATGGGAAAGCAGGAAGCTTGTGCTTTGATTCTGGCTCAAAGGGAAGCCCCTTCCCCTTTTTAATCATCAGCTACAACAGCACTAGGAATTGTTCTTGCCGGAAGTTTTAGAAGAGTGTCGTGGCAAGTGCTCACATTGGGAATGGGAGACATTCACTTAAGGGGCCTCTGCAGGTCACCTATGTTCCCCTTGGACAATGGCATCTCTTTCCCTCTCTTCCCTTCCCTTTCACTTTGGTGGCTGGGCAATTGCCGCCTCTTGGCCAAGAACTGGAGAAAGGAGACCCCCTGGCTTCTTCCTCAGACCCAGCTATTATCTCTTCCCCTCCATGGTTCTCTGTTGTCCTTCTTGAAAGATGGGGTTGATTCTCTTTGCCCCAAGACAGCGAAGACACTCAGATATTCAGAGAAGGCGGAGAGAGTCCGAGGGCATGGAAAGAGACCAAGCAAAAGATCTACACAAACACCCTAGACTGGAGGTATTTCTGCACTGTTTTCTTTTCCTTTTTGAGGCAGAGTTTTGCTCTTGTTGCCCAGGCTGGAGTGCAATGGTGTGATCTTGGCTCACTGCAACCTCAGGCTCCTAAGTTCAAGTGATTCTCCTGCCTCAGCCTCCCGAGTAGCTGGGATTACAGATGCCTGCCACCACGCTCAGCTAATTCTCTATTTTTAGTAAGAGACGAGGTTTTGCCATATTGGCCAGGCTGTTTTCGAACTCCTGACCTCTGGTGATCCGCCCACCTCGGTCTCCCAAAGTGCTGAGATTACAGGCGTGAGCCACTGTGCCTAGCCTGCACTGTTTTCTTTAAAAAGAAAAGGAATCGGTTTCCCCAGGGAGCGGCAGAGGGCCACCGTGGCATCGAAACAGTCCCCTGCCTTGGAAAAATAGTGCCAACCTTAAATCAACAGACCTGGAGACACTGGGCAAGAGAACGTGCCGGGTTCAGGAAAGAAGCGTCAGGAAGGACAGCCCTGGCTGTGTGCTTGGCTTCTCTGGTGGGCTGGTCCAAGGACCGTGGCCATGGAGGGAGACAGGACGGCAGGTGGGTATGAGGCATGTACAGGGCTGGGGGGTGTGTGGGGGGGATTTGGGTGTCGTCTTTTTTTTTTTTTTTTAACCTAGAAGATGTCGCAGAATTCTCAGTTGCTGACCTCTTAGGCTGCTTAAAAAGCCCTTTATGGGGAGACCCACCCTCCACGTATCTTGGGAGCAGAGGGCCCCCCACACTCACCATGCTGGCTCTGTGGTCGTCCAGGTCGTCTTCCTGTGTAGCCTGGAGCTGCGATTGTCACCCCAAGGCAGCAGGAGGTCCTCCCAGCACAGGTCCCGGCTGGCCAGCAGGTCAGAAGACCCTGGTCAGCACTGGCTGGAGGAGGCCTGAGTGCTGGGCGGACCTTGGTCCTTCAAGGTCAGCATCCTCGTTGTCCGCCTAGCAAGCTGTTGCCTCTCGCCGCTGTATTCCAGGAGTGACTGGGGGACGGTTGGTAGCTCAATTAAAGCAGTCCAGCAGGTGAAGTTGCCAAACTGGAATGATTATGTGTCTTGTAACCTGACGCCCGTCTTAGGGGCTGGGACAACACCTGAAGTCATTCATGGGCCCTTTGGCCTCAGAACAGGTGACACACCTAAGACGTCACAAAAGCCTTCCCGCCTGAATGACTTCCACCCAACCGGGTGTTGGCTGAGGGTGATGCCAGAAGTTTCCGCCCCCCCCTCCCCCTACCTTCTAGGTGCATGACTTCTCGCTGTGTGGGTGCTTTGGTTTGGGTTTGTGGAAAGTTGGAGTAGTCTGGGGGTTGGGCGACAGAATTTGCAGCTCAGTACAAAGGGATCATTGCCAGGTGTGGAGCAACATGATTGGAAAGTCCACAGAGAAGGAGGGGGTTTCTTCTCTTAGGGGGATAAGATATGCCGCCTTTCCCTGGATCCCAGAAGGGAAGCTGCCCTGCACAGAGCCAGCACGCCAGAGCTTCCTCTCCCTGTCTCACTGGCTGTTAAATATTTTGAAAATAACTATTGGTGCTATGGCTAGAGCCCAGGGCACCTCATCCATGGGGTTCTTTTCTTTTCTTTTCTCTTTTCTCCTTCCTTCCTTCCTTCTTCCCTCTGTCCCTCCCTCTCTCTCTCTTTCTTTCTTTTCACAGGGTCTTGTTCTATCCCCCAGGCTAGAGTGCAGTGGCATGATCTTGGCTAGCTGCAACCTCCGCCTTCCAGATTCAAGCAGTTCTCATGTTCCAGCCTCCCAAGTAGCTGGGACTACAGGTGTCCGTCACCACACCCAGCTAATATTTGTGGTTTTGTATTTTTTTTTTTTTTTTTTTTTTGAGACAGAGTCTCTGTCGCGAAGGCTGGAGTGCAATGGCATGATCTTGGCTCACTGCAACCTCTGCCTCCTAAGTTCAAGCCATTCTCCTGTCTCAGCCTCCTGTGTAGCTGCTGGGATTACAGGTGTGCACCACCATGCCAAGCTAATTTGCATTTTTAATATAGATGGGGTTTTGCCATGTTGGCCAGGCTAGTTTCAAACTCCTGGGTTCAACTGATCCACCTGCCTTGGCCTCCCAAAGTCCTGGGATTATGGCATGAACCACCGTGCCCGGCCCACAGAATCATTTCTGATTCACATTCTGCCATATCCTGATGGCTGGTGCTGTCTCCTCACCAGGGAATGTGCAAGGTGAAACCTTACAGCCACAGATATTTTGCCGAGAGGGATTTGGATAATTCTCCACTTCATTCCTCCATTCCGTGGGTGACAAAATTAAATTACAGAGAGGTAAAGTCAGTGACCCAAAGGCACATCATGAATTAGTGTCTGGTTCCAAACGAATCCAGATCTCCTTCCATTTCTCTGACCTGACCCTCCCCGGGGACCAGACTGGGTTAGACACGTGTATTAGTCCTTCTGTTGACAAGGTGCTTCTGTGTGTCAGCCCTTTAATTCTCCAACAACAACCACCTCCATATTTAGTTCCCACTTGCCAGCTGAGGAAATTATAGCTCGTGGACATGAAGTAGTCTTGGGCAGAGTTGGGGCTGGAACCTGGTTCTCCTACTGGTTCACGCTGCCGGCCTTGTGAACAGGCTGAATGGATCGCAAGCGTCTGAAAGGCTGGGGTTCATGGTTTGGGATAAAATGGCCCATGGAGGACCCCAGTGATGTCTGAGCAGGAGGAAAACCAGGTCAGTTTAATGGACTGTTGGCCAAATCTCGGCTGATGAATGCAGTGTGTCCTTGGACTGGTCTCTGAGCAGCAGAGATCTGAAGCTGGCCTGCAGGGCTCTGGAGCCAGCACAGCCCCAGCCCTTCCTTACTCTAGGCTGGTGGCCTTTAGAATTGGAAGTCTGGGGCAGAAGCAAGATCTCAGGTGACCTCAGGGATCGGGCTATGATGATCCAGGCAGGCACCTCCCATGTAAGGAAGACTCCAGCAGCAGGGCAGTGAGAAGCTAGTGGGCCACTGGGAGCCACGTTTTCAGCTGTCTTGGTTCCTCTATATGCCAGGCTAAACATCTGGCCCACAGGTGTGCATTGCTTTACCTGGTGCTCAGGTGATGAACCAGGAAAGAGGCAGCTGTCTGGGCTTGAAGGCGGCTGGGCATGGCTGGTTGGAGGGTTGATGAGTCAGCCCTCCTGGCTTCTGCTCCCCATTGGGTCTGGAATTTTGTGGAGAGGCCTGGGAAGAAGGCACATGAGCAGGACTGGGCAGGGTGGCTGTGGTGCCTGTAGGTGGGGGTGCAGGTTTACAGGGGGAGGTACGGTGGCCTGGAGAGACCAGAGGCCCACTTCTCCCAGGTGCCAAGGAAAACCACCCTGACCAGAGCCTCCATTCTTTTCCTCTTTTTTTTTGAGACGGAGTTTTGCTCTTGTTACCCGGACTGGAGTGCAGTGGTACAACCTCAGCTCACTGCAACCTCCACCTCCTGAGCTCAAGGGATCCCCCAGCCTCAGCCCCCCAAGTAGCTGGGATTACAGGTACGAGCCACCATGTCCGGCTAATTTTTGTATTTTTTGTAAAGACAGGGTTTCACCATGTTGGCCAGGCTGGTCTCAAACTCTTGAGCTCAAGTGATCCACTCGCTTCGGTTTCCCAAAGTGCTGGGATTACAGACATGAGCCACCATGCCTGGCCCAGAACCCCATTCCCCCAGAGGAAGCCTTAGCTCCCCCTCGGCCCCATCCTGCCTGCCTCTTTCTCTTTCTCACTCATCTCTTTAGATCAGGCATCCCTAAACTACGGCCCCGTGGGCCGCATGCGGTCCCCTGAGGCCATTTATCCGGCCCCCCGCCGCACTTCAGGAAGGGGCATCTCTTTCATTGGTGGTCAGTGAGAGGAGCACAGTATGTGGCGGCCCTCCAACGGTCTGAGGGACAGTGAACTGGCCCCCTGTGAAAAAGTTTGGGGACGCCTGCTTTAGATTCTCCTCCTGTTTTTCCGCTCTTCTTTCCCTCCCATTACTACTCTTTTATCTCTTCCTCTTTATTTTTGACAATTTTTTTCTCTTCCTTCTCCCCTTTCCTTATCTGTTTCCAGCATATGTGTCAAGATCAGAGGCAGAGTTATGAAACCAATGAAGCTGAATCTTCAGAGCCCATCATTTGCACGGCTCCTTTCAGGGCCCTGGGAAAGGGCCCGGCCGTGAATTCACAGGATCACATATTTTTGTAAATTTTGCCGAAGATTTCCTTCATATGCTTTTTCTTCAAGAAAGCCCCTCAAGAGGTGGCCTATCCCTGTAGGTGAAGACCAGAGCCTTCCTTACCCAGGCTGGTCCCACACAGGTGATCTCAGTTTTAGGACCAAGAGCCGTGCTGGTTTCTTAGATTGTTAGCTTTTCCTCCAGGGGACTGCAGCAGGTGGAGCTCAGAGCCTGTGGCTCTGCTAACAATAACTTGTATTCCAGGTCTTGTCCAGCAGAGAGCTTCATGCACACCAGATTCTGGGAGGTGTCAGCGGCACTCGAAAAAACTTTGTTGTTTGTTTTCTATGAGGTTTCTGGACTGTGGACCGAGCTTAGACACTTTCTGTAGGAGAATATCATTTCTGTCAAGATGGTTATTTAACCCTCCACCCACCATGGCAGGGCTTACCCAGAGGCCAAGGGAGCTCGCTGGTGTCCACAGGGGAGGTCCAAGACCTGTTGCCCCAGCCCTCCTGCCTTGCACAGCACAGAGGCGGTCACCCCAGGGACAGCCGGGTGTCAGACACCCAGCTGCCCTTCCTGGAGGAGGAGGCTGCCTTCTGTCCTTGCAACTACTTTCCTTATGGGCCTGCCCAAACACTTGGACTTGTTTGAAGCTGCCCTGGTAGCTTTATTTATTTATTTATTTATTTATTTATTTATTGTCTCTTTTCCATATTCACAACAGCCAGGGACTTGATCTGGATTTTTTTTTTTTTTTTTTGAGATGGGGTTTCTCCATGTTGGTTAGGCTGGTCTCGAACTCCCAACCTCAGGTGATCTGCCTGCCTCGGCCTCCCAAAGTGCTGGGATTACAGGCACGAGCCACTGCACCCGGCCCAATCTGGATGTATTTTAAACCACATTAAATAAAGAGTCTGTTGCTTTTCGAAGAAAAAAACAAAAATAAAAACCAAGCCCCTCAAAATACATAAGCTTCAGGCCTCTCAAAACCTGGATCCTCCTTGGTCAAGAGCATGAGCTCTAGCGGCCTGGGGTCCTGGCTCCTAGTATCAGCCACTAATGATCTGTGTAACCATGGGCATTTTATTTAATCCTCCTGCACTCCACCTTTCGTATCTGTAAAGTGGGATAGTAATAGTACTGACCTCATAGGGTTGTTATGAAGATTAAGAGAGAATCCTGGCTGGGCGCGGTGGCTCATGCCTGTCATCCCAGCACTTTAGGAGGCCAAGGTGGGTGGATCACTTGTGGTCAGGAGTTTGAGACCAGCCTGGCCAACTTGGTGAAATCCCCTCTCTACTAAAAATATCAAAAAATTAGCTGGGCATAATGGTGTGTGCCTGTAGTCCCAGCTACTCAAAGAGACTGAGGCAGGAGAATCGCTTGAACCTGGGAGGTGGAGGTTGCAGTGAGCTGAGATTGTGCCACTGCACTCCAGCCTGGGTGACACAGCGAGATTTTGTCTCAAAAAAAAAAAAAAAAAAAAAAGAAAGAAAAGAAATAATCCATGTGAAATGTCTGGTGCCTGAGAGAGACATAAATGGCGCTGTTATCCCCATTCATTTCACCAAATGTGTGTTTAAGGAGCTCATGCTAGACCCACCTCTGTTAGGCACTGGGAATTAGGAGATAAAACACAGGCCCTGAATATACACACCCCACCGTCTTCTGAAGGAGACAGGAGACATCCATCCATACATCAGAGTAAGCTTAAAAAGATGTTCTAGTAGAGATGAAAGGAGAACACCTGCGGGTTTGGAAAACCTTTTTCATTTCTCTCCCTTCCCTCCCTCCTTCCCTTCTTGCCTGCCTGATTTCCTTCTTTCTTCCTGCCTTCATTTTCCTCCTAGATATTTTTACTTAGCTACAGTAATTTGGAGGATGGTAT